CTCTGTTCAGACTATATATCTTTATTAGAAGTTATGATTTATGTAAATTTCGTGTTAAAATAAAATAAATTTCGAGTAAGATATCAACTTCAAAGCACATTTCCCAATAACTCAACAGTAGAATTTCAGTAACCCATAAACTTTTTTTTTTTGTCTTTGTTTTCTAGTAACCGTTTATTTTTAAATTACATGGTTGAAATTTAAAATTTTATTACGCTTTTACTTTAACTTTGTTTCCCCTTATCTTTGCATTTTCTAATTTCTTAACAAAATTCTTAAAAATAATGCTCAAACCTTTTATCTGGCTTCTTCTTTCTTTTTTTTTTATAACAACATTTCGATATCAGCACATAAAACTTTGAGATAAGCTTATAAAATACACAGGGTAACAAGTAATATTAGTGGGTTTGTCAAACATATAGGTTGTATTGTTTACTGATATTTTTTTATCTTTTCACAATAGGCTTAGCCACGGCTACTTTTTTTGCTAAATATCAATTGGGTACTTGCAATTCGAGAATAAGTGAAGTGATTTTGGAACTTAAAATGCAAACTATTTAGAATGCCATTTTATCTTAAACCACATGATTTAAATTCGATTTAAATGGATACCTGTTAGCGTCATCGTCCGTGTGTATGGAAGTGATTGGCTTCTGAATAGACAAACGGCGCGATTCATCTACGATCACGTAACTTGCAGGTATTCAATTGTAAATGTTTAACCTCCATGTGATTTTCAGAATAGTATGAACAGAAATGTAACAATACTAAAATATAGCAACTGTTTTAACTCAACTCTGTTCGATAGTTGTTCCGAAAATTCGTAAATAAACCCAGAAAACAAAACCAAAATGCTAAACATTTAGAGAAATATCCTTCTTGGCTGAACTCCAACACGCTAGAATTTTATAATTAAGCTCCGCTAATGAGGCAGAGACTTTTATTCAACCTAAAGTAGAAATTTGAGGGAAACGACGTAAGTTTTCTAATTCCATTTAATACAAAAGAACGGAAAGCTAAAATGCAAACTAGCTTAAAGCTTACATAGCGAGTTTTAAGAATTCGTAGAAATGTCTTTGTGTATTCAATGGCAAAAGCAATGCTGTTAATTGCTCGGAAAATTGTGAAATTCTATGCAAAGGATAAAATGGCACTCGAAATGGTCTGAATTTTAAGTTCCAAACATTTGATTTGATCCGAAAATAAAATTATAGATCAGAAAAAATGAAAAGGAATGAAAAGTTGAAATGAAGGAAAAGAATGAATGAAATAAAAACTAATATAAAGTTATAAGAATGTTACGATTTCTTTTAATATTATATCCGTCTCTAAATCTTAAATGGCAACATTTTTTGACAAAAAATTGCTTATGCTAATATTTAGGAATTGCCAAAGCTTTAAATTTTCAAAAAACAAGGACCAATTTCAAAGCGTAAGCAGTTTATGGATGGAATCGCACGAAAAATAAAGGATTTCAATTTATTCCCATAGTCCATAATACATGAAAATAAAAATGCACTTTTGTAGTGTGAATGAATATCGGCTAGCTCAAATTAATTGTAAATTAGGACAAAAGTGACTAAAAGTACACTTAATAAAGAATTTTAATTAATAACCACAGATACAAACATAAATTACATTTGAACAAAAGTAAAAAGGATTAAAATTTAAGAAAACTCGGGGAAAGGGAAAAAGTCATGTTTAAGGTTTCATATCCGAACTTGAACTGAGTCTCGGTGGTGGGGACATAGGTGGCACCACAGGGAATTGGTTTGTTGCTACAGATAAACTACCCGTTACACTTTTTTTAAATTTCTGAATTTCCAAATTAACTACTCTCTTTAATTAGCCTTTTTGAATCCTTATCTATTTAATTTTTAGCCTAAATATTTAAAATATCGTTTAAATATGGTTTAGTTATCTAAAACACGATCAGCTTTTGTTATAATTTTAATTTCTATTTCGTTGTGATCACGGGTTCATGTCTAAAGCACTTTCAAAGTATACAGAAGATATAGACGGAGATAAGGTGCTCGATTCTAACACATGTGATTAGGCGAATTGCCTTTTTAGGGTTGTGGTAGGTTCAGACTCTCTGTTCAGACTCTCTACGGATGACAATGTACTGCCACATAGGTGCTCTGAGTTATCCGACGCACTAGAAAGTAAAGATATTGACCGTATGCCGTGGCCTGTGTACTCCTCGGACCTAAACTCCTATAAAGTATGCCTAGAATGTCCTTAGTAAACGTGTTTTACAAAGAGCATGCCGTTTCCGAATCGTGCAAGAGCTGAAAACCTCCTTTAGAGAGGACTGGGACGATATACCCCAAGGAATCTTTAATTGTTTAGTGTACAGTATGAATAACAAATGCAAAATGTGAATTAGTGTCCGAAGTAATCACACATCTTATTGAAGTACACGTTACTGTTTCATTCTGACAAGATTGTTGTTGTTCATTTACGTCGCACTAGAGCTGCACAATGAGCTATTGGCGACGGTCTGGGAAACATCCCTGAGGATGATCCGAAGACATGCCATCACAATTTTGATCCTCTGCAGAGGGGATGGCACCCCCGCTTCGGTAGCTTCGCGACCTGCACGCGAAGTCGAGCACTTTACGGTAGAACAGTTTAACGATGACCAATGCCGCCCACCCTCGGTCCCTAAGCAGACTGATCCAAGTGGTCACCCACCCGCACACTGACGACAGCCAGTGATGCTTGACTTCGGTGATCTGCTGGGAACCGTGTCTTTACGATCAGTCCACTGCGGGACCATTCTGATAAGAAGACCCATTTTTCATGGTTCTTTGAAAATCTTCCAATGAGCAACTTTTTTATTTTGTTATTTTTCGATTTGTCGATATCTGAACTATTTTGCATAAAAATAAATGCACATAGTCTCCACTAAATATGCACTTTGTTTCATTTCATCAATCAACGTCGATTATTTGTTACTGCGAAAAATGTAACTGTTCCTTAGCAATTGTGAAGCAGTGTATAATCACGATGACATCTCCTGAATAGAATGTCGCTAATTGAAAGAGAAAGCATTTGGCCGAAGGAACACTTTAATTGCTACAGTACAGACTCTTGGGAAATGAGAGGCTTTAGTCAGACGACCATGAGACCTCATCAAGTTTAATAAGCTTATTGCCATGAATATCATTAGAACAAAAACTAAGAAGATGACATGAGTTGAAGAGAACTGTAGTGAGAAATGTAATTAACAGTTCATTTGTATTTGACAATAAAAGACGGCGAATAAGTATAGACGTCTTACTGTTATTTCTTGTGATACTTAATAAGATATCTGAGAATATGTCGAAAAAAATTTAAATCAAACTATAGGATAAATTAAGTTCTTGATTTCAATTTCAACAGCAAATTTAAAATTATTAAATTTTTCACTTAATAAAAAAATAGTTTTTTGAATTACTTTCCAAAATTATGCATAAACGTTTAAAAAGACATGTTTTGTAACTTTTAATTTTAAAAAAAAGCTTTATTCTGGTTAATAAAATCAAACCATTCATTTGATAATTTTTCTGTTCATGTGGCAGCAGTTTACTGAAAATTTTGGTTTTCGAAATTATAGTTCTTATTGCCATACATTTAGTAAAAAATACAAAACTATAAAGTAAATTTAGCCGTATATGCCACGCACTAAAGCATCATGATAAAACTAGCAAATTTTATTGCGTTTATTAAATTTTATCACATATTATAAAACCATATTTAATTGTTTAGTTCACTAAAATCATTACCAAAGCGCTTCGGTAAAAATGACCGAGTTTTTTTTTGTGTTCCTATAGAGCTAGAAACACCGTAAATTTTATATTCTTATTAGTTTTGACTGCACTTTTTTTCTGAGTGTACGTGGTTTTATTCCATTTTG